TTTAAAAGCAATAACTTCATGAATAGGACTAGGAAAGTCAGGAGGCCAAATGGTTAGGTGATGAGGTGGCAGATTTGCTCCCAGATATCAAATCTGAGAGGCTGAGGCGACCACTTGCCACTTAATGCAATTGATTATGTAGTTACCATCCATAAAGAAAGATATCCTTTGTGTCCATGACTAAAGTGGGATGACTTATGTAAAAACGAAATGTCATACATTAAACTCAGCAGAATGACATAACTGAATAACAGAAAATTTAAGTAAAAAATCTCTGGACTGCAAATCAAAACAGTCCAAACAGGCTTTAATAAAAATGAATGCCTGACATAGTTACAGCATTTCGTTTTTAGCACTTTCTTTGTGAAAGCCTCTAAATTACTTAAAAGCATAAGTATGCCTGCACATTTATGTTACATCGCTTACATTATCTCTATGCAACTAAAAAATAAAGCATAAACATTATAAATAACAAATAATTTTCTAGCCAATTGCTTATGTATTAAAATGTGGCATCATTGCCTTATGCACTAGCATTATTTGTTATGTAGCCGCACAAATACTAAAGTAATGAAAATTTTGTAGTGTAATTTTTTTTAATCTCAGGCAATAATTCTTTAAAAGCCAGTAAGATTTTCACAGGAAGAATTAACCAAAAAGAAAGCATTTTACATGGCAAGGCAGATCAATGCACAGAGTTGTTGTCATTGAGTTAATGAGTGTAAGTTTATCATCCATAGCCATTTGAGGAAAAATTGCTATTCAGGAACAGGAGAAACTTCTGTTCACATCATTTCTACCACTCAGGGGAAATTTCCACACCTACAGCCCTTCCCCGTGAAACTGTCTCCCTCCTCTTGCACTGACATGAGCCTGCAGATTCGTATCTTTCCCAATTACTGTCACACTCTCCGTCTATGCTGCATAACGTCCGTTTGCATGAGAATCAATAGCACCTTCCTTCTTTCTCTTGGATGGTAAACTTAATTAAGGCACCTGATGTACTTCCTGCTTTCTCTTTCCTCTGTGAGACTGTGTAGGGCAGATAGGCTCGTGAGCACAAATTGTGAAACTCAAGAGGAAGGAAATGTGTATAACTTGTTTGTTGTTGATGACAGAAGCATAAATTTCCCAGGACAAATCTTTGTTCATTCTTCTCTGTGAAAACACCAACTAATTTCTCATCGAATAAGTAGCTATTCTTAGAAAACGTAATTGCATGAAGGACTCGGCCTAATTGTAAATATATGCAATATTTTCTATTCATTCCATTCTTTTCTGTTTTAAACTCTTCATTATATATATTCCCTTAGCAGAACTAATTATTTCTGCATGTCAAGTAAACAATTATTTTCTTTCCCTTTGGACATCATTAATTTGACATGTCAGGTTTAATGCAACCAAGTAATTTTCTTTGATCAAAAAACAATGCTCTAAATAATTGTGACATTTCCAGACACTGCTACGGATGCAAAACCTGCAAAGTCGAAGGACACAGGGATTTGCCCTTGAGAAATTCGTGGTTTATTGAATACAAAGTAATTAAAACCTAATATAGAAAGATCCATCATGTAAGTGTAAACATCCCTTAGACTATAAATGAATGAAATTATTTTAAAAATAGTGAAAATTAATGAATAAAAATATTCAATCTTAATTTACCTGTTTTCTGACTTTTGGAAGATTAATTATTAATAAGTACTATTCATTGAATGCCTACTATGATAGCATTTCCTAAGGTCTGTGAAAAAAAAAAGTGAAATTAAAAGGGAAACTTATTTTCATGCAAAAAAGATTGCAAAGTTCACAGATAGTTTTTTCATGAAGCACATTTTGTTGAACTTTTCGAAGATCTCTCCTATGAACCAGCCTTTATTCTGAATAATTCAGGTCTAGGCAGACAGTTGCCTGTAGGTTAAGACGCCAGTTGGGATACTCATATTCCACATCACAATGTCTGATTCCCACACTGACCCCCTGCCTCCACCCCCAGCCAATTCAGACCCCAAGAAGAGGCTGGGTTCCTCCAGCCACGTGGAAGGCTTGAGTTGAGTCGCTGCCACCAGCAACTGGCCGCTTGAAATAGTTGGGGATGGAGAATGAGCCAGTGACCCAACAAATAGGAACTTTCTTGCTCTCTCTCTCTCTCTCTCTCTCTCTCTCTCACACACACACACACACACACACACACAAAATATTTAATTTTTCATTTCTATTTATCTTGTGCATATTACTGACTTGTAAAGTTAACAACAAAGTGTTTGATGGCAAATATAAATCAGTGAAGATGGTGAAAGTGTTATGTTTTAGAGAAGGCTAAATTTAGGGAAAGATGAATTCTTACATGGATGGTAATACACTCATTCTTGTGTCAGGGAAAGTATGCATAACATTCGCCTTCCATCCAACAATGGTATTGCTCCCAAGGAAGCCAAGCCAGAAAGAAGCTGAAGCCACATCTCAAAGTTGAGAAATTCCCAGCAACAATTCAAATTTAGCATTCTAACCCACAGCATAATGTCCCAACCATAATACTTTTAATATTTCTTAAGTCAGGAAGCAAGTTTTCTGCATTCCCCAATTTGTTTCTGTTATCTGATATAATCATTTGAGAGAAATGAGACCAAGCCTTGGAAACTCACAGGCTTACTAGAATACGGTCCTTTGTCTTCCTCAGAGGGATGGATTTTTCTCTGGGCAGTTTATTCCCCCACGCTCAAAACTAAAAGACTTGTGTGTGTCTGTCACATTTTACTGACCCAGTAATATAGCCCAGCCTTCGTGAATGTAGACTTGTTAATTGTCTGAAACAAAAGGAGTGCTGTGTCCAGAAGATTAACAAATGGATACTCTATTCCCTTGCCCCTGCTCTGTATCATAGAGCAAGAGATTTGATTGTGTTTCAGGAAAACGGTTTTCTAAGATTGTTCACCAAATCCACCCCATATTTGTGCATTTACAAAAAAACATTCAAGAAGGCGTGTATTTGGGCCTTCAAAGTAACACTTTCAGTGTAACTAAGGAGAGAGATCATTGTGCACAGGCCCAAGTTTGCCCAATTATTTCTTTCATTAATAAAGTGCATCAATCAATATTCTGCACTTCTTATACCAATTTATTTTTAAAGATGTTAATATGGCAAACAGTTTTTCAAGATGCAGACAATATCTGCCTTTGCAGACTATTTTTCCCTGAACAGGACAATAAAGATACTGTATCCTACCGAGTCAATGGAATGTCACGCGGTCGGGTTTTCTGGTAACCTCCCCGAGACTTGAGGACACCAATGCATTATCTGAAGCATTCACTGATCGAACTCTGTATAAATCCCATGCAACAGGAACAAAGCAGCATGTAGTCCACAGGCTGGCTAGCTCATGAGCAGTTAAGTCATCCTTCTCTGACCAGGAATCTCACGTCATCCGCGAGAAATCTGTCAGTCTGTTACAAAGGACTCGGTTAGCTTGCAAGTAAAGCACAAGTTCAGATCCTTGGTAGTTGTTGATAATCACCTCTCCGCTTCACTTTTCCTACAAGTAGAACAGACAAGCAGCTGCCTGCCAGGGCGAGTCTATTCATGTAAGTGCGTCTAGGTCACACACGCCCTGCCTCAAATTGAACTCTCCCGCGTGCACTCCTCACGCTACAGTGCGTCAGTGTTTGCTGCTTCCTGACTTTCCCTCGGCCCAGTCAAGTCACTTGCTCTCTCACGCAGTCTTCAACAGTGACTGCGCCGCTGAGACCGGAAATCATGCTCCCCTTTGTCAAAGTTCCCGTCCGCTAGACCATGACTTCCTGGCTTTCTTCCTGCGGCTTCGTCCCTCTCTAGTTCCTTCCCACACACGCACACACACGCACAACTGACTAAAAGAATCTTTTGCACATACCGTAAGACACTCCTAGATTTCTTCAAGATACTATTTAATGATATAACAGAAAATTAGTTTTTCTACAATGGGGAAAAAATGGTATTCACCAGACTGAAGGGAATAGAAAGATTCTGTGATATCTTTTTGTTTTTTAATTTATTTTTTATTGCAAAGTTAGATCTATAGAGAGGAGGAGAGACAGAGAGGAAGATCTTCCCTCCAATGATTCACTCCCCAAGTGACCGCAACAGCCGGTGCTGAGCCGACCTGAAGCCAGGAGCCCGGAGCCTCTTCCGAGTTTCCCACATGGGTGTAGGGTCCCAAGGCACTGGACTGTCCTCAACTGCTCTCTCAGGCTGCAAGCAGGGAGCTGGATAGGAAGCGGGGCTGCTGAGATACAAACTGGCGCCCGTGTGGGATCCTGGTGGCGCTTTCAAGGTGAGGACTTTATCCACTAGGCTACTGCACTGGGCCCATCTTGTTTAAAGATTTATTTGTTTGTTTTTTATTGCAGAGTCAGATATATAGAGAGAAGAGGAGAGACAGAGAGGAAGACAGTGATATCTTTAGAAAATGGAGAAAAGAGTTGTAAGAAACATGCCATATGACAACAGTCACTCAGTTACGTAGACAGTCGATACTAATATTCTCCAAGCTCAAATTCTAGTGAAAAATTAACCAAAAAATACTGCAAAGAAAGTAGGAGAACCAATAGTATAAGCCGAAATACACTGTGCACTAATGAGGAAAAACCCCCCAACGTGTGCCAGAAATCCCAGCTGCAACTTGTCTTCCGTGTTGCTCTAACTTGGATGAGAAATCTTACCTCTCCAGGTCTCAGACAACTCCCCTCCCAGATGGGGTCAGACTGTAAACGCCCCATTGCCCAATGAATTGCGACTACGTGAGTATGACTACCTTGGGATGAGTAGAACATTCCTCTTTCAGATACTAATAAAAAGCTTCAGGGATATTTATGATTAACTCCCAAAAGAATATAAGATTTGGTAATGCTTGACAGAACTTAAAGCTAGGTCTTCCTAGAATCCGCAGATGCTGCAAGCGCCTTCATATCAGAGTCACTGTTCCCATCAGTCATCAAGGACCACTTACTGGATTCCATCAACTTACCTGTAACAAAAAGTCAAACAGCGCCACCTTGGACCACTCGTGGTGATGGACTTCGGTACAGCCCCATTCAGGTTTGGGGGCTCGGCCATTCTGCCAACACTTCTGTTTCAGCAGCTGCTGGTAAGCTCCCCAGGTGAGCTTGACAGAAGAATGGGTGTCGTTACTTGCTGGAGATAATGATGGGTCCCAGAGGATGATGGGACACGGGCGGCCATCTAAGGAAATCGGAGAAAACACGCTTTCAGCCTGCTGTCAGCTGCATGGATATGCTTGCGCAGGAACTTTAATCTCAGTCTCACCTGCACAAGAGCTGGATTGAAAGAAACTGTCCTAGAAGCTTCTAGAATTTTGAGATGTTTTGCTGAAACTCTGATACATTTGTACTCCACTTATACTTCCAGTTGAAAGTCTTATAAAGTGGAAGGTTATTGTTAGACAACAAAACAATTTGAACACAATACTTTATAGATGTGGCAGGAATCGGCTACTAACCACTAATAACAATGTCCTCTCTGGTTAGTGTGGTTTTATTCCACATCTAAAAGCAGCTACCACAGAAAAGGAAAGAACCCAGACATTTATAATTGTCTGTGGAACATCTGAGTGGGACTGCTGTCTATTTGTAGTAACAACTGCCTGACTTTCTGAGGCCACATTACGATGTTAGGAAGAAAAGGCATTTTCAGAAGGCGCAAATGTCTAAATGAAATCGTATGGTTCACACCAATCACTGGAATCTCCAAAGATGGGAAAAAATACTAAGGTTTGTTGTTGTTGTTTAGATAGAAACCACGCAAGCCTGACAGCACTCCTCAAAATGCATCATTCATTCACATATATCCCCAAAAGCAAGTCAACTGCATGCGCATAGCTGGATTCTAAAAATAATAATAAAAAACTAGTACTCATCTTGTTTTAGTCTGACTCTTGATAGTTTAGAAATGCAATTTCTTTCATTGCTAAACTGGGTAAAGAATGATGAGCCCCAATGAAGTCATCATAAACAAGGAAGACCGTGATCCAAGCACATTAAACAACACTTCAAGCTGAGAGCCAGTACCACCGCTCCCAAGCCCCTTCCTGCCAAATAAAGCCAGAGAGAGAGTGTGTCGAGCAGCTTTGCTTATGACTTAAAAATCAGAATAATGCTTTTGAAAAGGATAGACAGAACTGCAAAGAGCTGAAAAAAATCCCACTTCAGGCATGCTTAACAGGAACAGCCCTGAGCAGCGGAAGCGTCTGCATGACTGGAGTGCAGACCTGTCACTGGAATTCTTGAAATGCCTTGAAATGGCCTCGGTTGATCTCACCCTATACCTTCATTCCTGTTTGTTAGGAATGTTTATGTTGCCAGCTGGCTTGCTGGGCTTTTGATATGGTTCTTTCCAGTCTCCTGTGAGAAACAGTCAGATTCCCTCACCACTCCTACACATGGTGTCACAAAGCTCGGTCACTTTGATAGCATTCATCCCATCATTCTCATCACTTGTATTTCAGTTTTGTTTGAAAGAGAAACTTCTTGTTTTAGCCTTGCAGTTGCTACCTAAGCAGGTGAAAAACCCTTTGGATTGTGGAAAATATACTAGCAACATTGATTGACACAGTTTGGAGAGAAGAGAAAAAGCAAGGAGACATGAAATGAAAACAAAACACTTCATTCATGATACTACCTGTGTCTCCTATCTAGTGCTTTTTAGTGAGTTGGGGCTGCTAGAACCTCATTATCCTTTTAGGTATAAGGTTGTTTCAAATGTGCCTATTGCCAATACTGTGCCAGGGGGCTGGGGACACGAGGGAAGCCCCTTGTGCAGAAGCAAATGTGTCAGGACCAGTGAAACCAAACGCGAAGACAAAGCAACCAGGCTTTCAAAGGCGTGCACTTGAGCCGCTGGAGCAAAACACGAAGCAGACCCATCCATCAGTGTCTTTGGACCAAAGCTATACACAAATAGCACTTTGCATTCCAGGGCTAGGAAGTGTTCAAAGGGGTGAGACCTAATGCTGACCTTTAAGAACGCAAATCAGTCAGGACAGGCCAGCAGCCCTGGGAGCACAGGAATGAGCCATGGAAGGAACTGAACATTTTGGGGTTGTCTCAGTGCCGGCTTCTTATGGTGAAAGTTATTCAAAGTAAAGCCACTCATCTTAGTCAATATGAGAAAACATAAATATGTATAATTCAAATAACAGAAATCAAAATCATCTCTAACCTCATGTTTCAGTGATATGTTCTTTATCCCCTCCCCCACCTACCCCAGGGTTTTCTGTTACTTTCTTTTTCACTGCTTTTTTAAAATTTGTTCACTGCTTTTTTAAAAGATGAGGTTTTTAGGGTTGGAATTCAGACTCTCAAATCATATGGACTTGTTGAATTTTGGTCACTTTTTAACTTAATAATATGAGGCAGGTTGTGTAACCTCCCTAAACCCTGTTATTCCTCTTGTGTAAAATGAAATTAGCAGTGCCTTCCCAATCTGACTTTGTTAGTTCTCAGTAAGATTACATTTTAAAAATTATCAAACTGAGACCAGTTTGAGAGCAGTTAGGACCCTGATGGCCCCATCAGAGGACCTGGGTTCAATTCTCAGCTCTTACTCCTCTCTCCAACTCCTTGCCGACACACACCTCTGGATGCTTGGGTTCCCATCAGCCGTGGGGGAGACTGGAGTTTGTTCATGGTTCTTGGCTCCGACCTTGGCCCAGCTCTAACCACTAGAGGCATTTCAGGAGCCAATCAACAAAGGAAAATTCTCATTTTCTCTCTCTCTAACCCTACATCTGCATCTCCATACACCGCTCTCTCTCAAAATAAATAAGGTATGAGAAAAATTAAATGAAAATAGTTAGAATTCTCAATTTGTTGCCTTCACAAATACATGCCTCAGAGAGATTTGCCTGTAATTGTTACTACATCTCTACATTAAACGTCCACAGAATCCATTGGTCTTCAACATATATCTTTATTATTTATTGAACAAATACTATATGCCAAGCACTATTCCTAAACCTGAAGCTAAATAAATGTTGATTTTTTTTTCCTTTCTTCGCAGTTACATTTCTATCATGGGAAAGAAGCCAAAATTATCTAAAGAAAGCAATAATTGGAGAATCACCCTTCATATAGTTTTTCATAATTCATTAAATGTTAGATCATAGGCATTTATCTTGCAGGGCACCACTGCTGTTGCGATGCAGTAATCTGATCCAGTGCTCAGTACATGTAAGTGGCCAGCGGTAGATATTTTAACTTTGAGTGGCCATACAACCATGCAACTGTTAATTCAGTGACAGCATGAAAGTCACCACAGCCCTATTTCAATACAATTGGTTAGCGCTTTTTCCAGTTAAATTTTATTATGGCCTGAAATATGCATTTCACAGTGTTTTTAACAGTTTTTCATAACAGTATTATTTCCATTTTTATCAACCACTTTGAATCGTAGAGACCATTTTTTGGTTTACAAAACAAAAGCAAGCTGTGTACCATCTAAGTATGTTCATCTCTATTACACTGGGAATAGTATATCTTATTTGCCATTTATCTATTTTAGATCACCAAATATTTTTTGAAAGGCACATTTTCCATACTGGTCTTTAAATTTATCCGCAAACTGGCAAAGAAAACATTCCAATGATAGAAATAGCAGGTGTGGGCCTGGCACGATAGCCTAGTGGCTAAATTTTCCCCTTGGGCTAGGATCACATATGGATGCTGGTTCATGTCCTGGCTATTCCACTTCCCATACCGCTCCCCGCTTGTGGCCTGGGAAAGCAGTAAATGATAGCCCAAAACCTTGGGACCCGGCACTTGCATGGGAGACCTGGAAGAAACTCCTGTCTCCTAGCTTCAGATCAGCTCAGCTCCAGCCATGGTGGCCACTTGGGGCATGAACCGGTGAACAGGAGATCTTTTTCTCCATCTTTCCTTCTCTCTGTAAATTTGCCTTTGCAATAAAAATAAACAAATCTCTAAGAAAAAAAAAAAGGTAACAGGTGTTCCATTAATATCATGTGTCATGTCCCTGAGGCAGAATTTTTTTTAAACATTTATTTTTATTACAAAGTCAGATATACAGAGAAGAGGAGAGACAGGGAGGAAGATCTTTTGTCCCTTGATTCACTCCCCCAAGCAACCGCAACGGCTGGAGCTGACCCAATCCGAAGCTAGGAGCCCAGAGCCTCTTCCAATCTACCATGTGGAGCAAGGTCTCAAGGCTTTGGGCCGTCCTTGACTGCTTTCCCAGGCCACAAGCAGGGATCTGGATGGGAAGCAGGGCCAATGGGATTAGAACCGGTGCCCATATGGGATCCCAGTGTATGGAAGAAAAGGACTTTAGCTGCTAGGCTAGCACAGGGGGCCCAAAGGCAGGATATTTTTAATGCTATAGAATGAAGACATTCTTCCCCACCCTGGCAGAGTACCTCAAAGGAGTTGCCAAAGCACAAGAAGGGAGCAGAGTGACTGAGTGGTGGAAGCTGCAGTTCCTTCCTGCTGTGTGTGAGCCCACGTGGCCCTCACAGATGATGCGAGTTCCTCACCAGGCTCCAGATCTCAGAGCAACGAGATGCTACCGTGAGGAGAATTCCACCTCCTCTAAAAGATGGCGTTGAGAGGCATTAGATGAGCTTTGATAGGTCTGGAAGGGTGACAGAAAAGTAGGCTCTGAAAACAGGAAACCAGTGAAGGCAGCTTACTCTGAAGCGCTTCGGAGACGAGCAGCATGCATATCCACACATCCAGGACTGTCACAGTGATGCAGGGCCACGCTCCCTGGAGACATCTTAAGGGTGAAGAGAAAATTCTAACTGTCAGAGCAGTGAGAAAGCAAGTTTTTAAAGATGTGTGGTGCTCACGTGGATTAAAGGGTACATAGCTGTGAGAAATGAGACTTGTCACTGCAGCGTCCTGTTTCTGAAATCTAAATGTTTCCCCTGAATTTTTATGTTCTCCCAGGTCTTTTCCAACTAAAAAAAAAAAAAAAGGCATTCTCCTCAGAAAATGAACATGAAGATTCACCAAAAATGAATGCTTTACCCAGTCAGCTTTGTCTGTATTTTTAAGATGTCTCTTCACTTTCAGCCTCGGCTGACTGGTTTTTATTCAGCCACAGGTGAATGCTAAGGCGGCGGGTGAGGTATTGAATGTTAGCCAGCATCTGTCACTGAGCGGAGATCAGTAAAAATGTCTTGGATGCTGAAACTGAGCTCATGGGCC